AGGATCTGACTGGTACAGGAGGAGATTGCTCCTCCTTCTCCAGCAGAGCTGCAGTTGATGTATACTTCTTAAAAAACGTCTTAGGAAAATCAACAGAATGAGAATTGACCCCAAGTAGTATAGTACTTTAAGATCTCACTGTTTTACTAACGACAGTGTGTACTGTAAGTGACCATGGGGACAACATAAAAAAAGGGGATACAGATATCAATAATCATATGATTGATATTACATTGATAACAGACATAACAATTATACTTAAGCACTTTGACATAAGTTAAAACACTTATGCATTTCTCACAAATCAGAATAATCTATGGAAATGTTTACATGTAGAGTCTGTAATAAGATTACCTATCAAGATGTGATCATGGCCACTCCGTGCTTGGAAAGGCATGTTACCCTTATTTTTGTCCATTTATTTTTAATAAAAATAATAAAAATCTACTCCCCCTTCTTCCCCTCCCCCAAAAGACCTATTTCACATATTGGTAAGAAAAGACTAACATTTACTATTTAAGCCTTGCTATAATGCTCTTCACAGGGGGACATCAATGAAATAAAGCAATAATGGTTCTCTTTAAGAAAGGAACTTCCTAGTCTATCCTTGTCACTGCTGCAAAAGGACATGAGAAACATCAAGAATTCCTTAATTTGGACAGTAAATATTAAATACAAACGAAGAACAGAATGTCCACCCACTCAAGGCCACAGAATTGATGACAACTCATTGCAACCCTACAGGACAGAGTAGAACTGTTCCACAGGGGTCTAAGACTCTAAACAGTTTTTCTTTTTTTAAATTGGTTTTCATATAATCATTATATATACTGTGTTTTGTACATGTACTTTGTGTTTTATACAATCACTCATATATTGTTGTTGTTGCTACGTACTATCGAGTCACCTGCGACTCAGAGTGACCCTATGTACAACAGCTCTGAAGCCTGCCCTATTCTGAGCCAGTCTCTCTGACTCCGACATACCTACCCCCATCTCCCCAGTTACTGTATCAATCCATCTCATCCAAGGTCTTCATCTCCTGCACTGTCCCTCCACACTTCTGAGTATGAAGTCCTCATACTTTATATTTTATATGGTGTTACTAGTGACTTTATGATAAGTTGGTATTTTGTTTCTAACAAGTTTTTATTCTTTTTCATTGAAAGCAATTAGTGAAAGAGAAGAGGGAATTAAGTTTATAGTTAGAGTCCTGTTTAATCTGATGGAGAGTTCTGAGGTTGTGCAGGCATTCCATATCTCAGGTGCTTCAGAAGAAAGGCCTGCAAAATAACTATGAGATAACACCTTACCCCATTAACAGTAGCAAAGTTCAACAGAGCAGCAAACAAGTGCTGGCAAGGTTGTGGAGAAATTGGAACCCTTATTTATTGTTGGTGGGAGTGTAAAATGGTACAACCACTATGGAAAGCAGTATGGTGTTTTCTTAAAAAGTTGGAAATAGGAATATCATTTGATCCAACAATTCCACTACTGGAAAGACACCCTAAAGAAACCAGAACTTCTACCTAAACAGATATATGCACACCCATGTTTACTGCTGCATTATTCACAAATTGCAAAGAGATGGTAGCAACCCAGGTGCCGATCAACAAATGAATGGATAGAGAAGCTGTGGTGTATTCACACAATGCAGTATTAAGAAGCACTGAAAAAGAAAGGACTTATAAAATATTATACAAAATGAGTGACCCTGGAGAACATTATGCTGAGTTAAATAGCCTAGTCAGAAAAGAATAAATACTGTATAATACCACTTTTATAAAACAGGACTGACATTGGGGGTTGAGGTAAACTGAGAAAAGAGGGAGTAAATAATACTGCATTGGAATATATAAGGGAAAGAAATGATTGAAAGGAATACATGATTAGGCATTATCTGTATGACAATAGTCCAGAACAAGAGGTGTGTAACAAAGAGGACTGAAGAGGGGAACTGTGCAACAATAAATGCATTTTTTAAAGAGAAAAGCAAACTGGGGTGGGGGTTAGGGAGGAAAATGTGCAACAACCAATGAATAAATGAATGGAAATTCAAGTTTTCTGTAAACTTTTGTCAAAAATCACAATAAAAATTATTATTTTTTTAAAAAAGAAGAAGATAGGCTTGGTGATCCGCCTCCAGTCATCGAATTCACTGCTGTTGTGTCAGTTCTGACTCACACAGTAAGCCTCCACTGGGTTTTTAAAGCTGTGAATCTCAATGGGAAGAGATTACTCATCTATCTCCCCACAAAGTGGGTGCCAAAGATGAGCAAGATTTGGGTTATCAGTGCAGCTCTATGAACCACACCGTCATAGCTCCATCCTAAAGGGCCAACACCACTGAAAACTGTATGGAGCAAAGTTCTACTCAGAAAGGGCTGAGGAAGTGAATTTCCCCAGTATCCAGGTTATGTTACTGCTATCTGTTTTACTGTTATAATGGGCTCTCATATAAAATTCTATATATGAAGAAAAGATATTCATTGCTAAGTTGTTGTTGTTTGTTATGTGCCATCGAGTTGCCTGTGACTCATAGCGACCCTATGTACAACAGCCCTAAACTCTGCTCTGTCCTATGCCAACTGCACTGTCTCTGACACTCCCATCCCAATTATCCCAGTCACTGAATCAATCCACCTCATAGAGGGCCTTCCTCTCCTGC